TGCATATTTGGGCTCCAAAAGAGCTGGAGAGTAACTGAACAATGGCTTGAACAAAGGAAACCCTGAGCTTTTTTACCCTAAGTGTGAAAGTCTGGGGTCATGGGCTCCTGCTGAGTCTCTGAGTGTCTGGTCATCCTGTACCCTTTGTTGCCCCAGGTTCTTGTCCCAAAGCTCAACATGCAACTGCACACTGAGCTACCTGCACTGAATGTATTCCTCAAGAGCCCTTACTTTAATTGAGYACTCCTGCTAATATACTGAAAGGGAAAAAGAGAAGTTTCCATACATTTAACCACTGTCCTTCCATGCAACTTAATTTCAAGTACCAAACATACCGGAATTAAGAATTAAGAATTAAGGCTAACAAAATTGCCTAACAAGAGTGGAAACGATTATCAATTTAAAATCACACTGGATTCTCAAAAGTCAGTTACTGATCAGCTGGTTAATCATTCACTACTTGTTAAAACACTGAGTCTAGCATTTATATCCATCCAACAGAATGGTTTTAGCCCAGATAAAAGTTCCTGTTACAGCTGTGTACTTCCTAAAAAATCTCTCTATCCCCAAAGACTTACACAGCTAATCAATTATATTTGCTGTAAAATGAGACTTCTGRCTGATTGAATTGCCTGTGGAACCCCTCATCTAGGTGTAATTTCCTCTAGCAAGGCTTTTACTATTCCTATGTCAGTCCTTACTGGAAAGGYTTCTGCCCAGCCTGATCTACTGTCACTGGCAAATGCTTGCACCCAGCATAGGTGGCTTGTCCCAGAGCCCATTTGCAGTCTCTGAAAAGAGAGGTAGATCCTTGACTGCCATCCTGACTCTGAGCTCAGTCTGATACTTGAGAACTTCTGGCAAATTGGGTAGCAGCTTGTGATTCTTTTTCTGGCAACATAAATTCCTGAAGCTATCCATAGTTGGTTTTTTTTTTTTTTTTACTGGTTAGCTATTGCCTCTATGCCTCCAGGGGCTTTATTGTGAAACTGATGCCTTTTTCTTTGGTCCTTGGAATTATGAGCCAGACGTGGTTAAAGTGATGAGGGRTTATACCTCAATATTTAATAAGGATCCTTAGGTACACAGTTTGTCAAGGTGGAAAATGCTGAAGATGCACACTGTGCTTGACATGTATACAATTTTTATAGACCTTGCMATTAGCATATCTGATAAAGACTCCCCAATAAARAAGCTTCATAGAAGAACTCTTGTCCCCCCTATTCTAGCAATGTCTACCCCCTCAGATGAGGCTTGAACCCTCCTTACAAAAATATATCTCAGAGAGCTGTTGTCAACCTTGGTTGAAACCTTGGTTTCTAAGGAGAACCAAGATRGCATWGGGGCTTCCAGCCTGCAACTGGCAGACTTTTAGAATGTTTTGTCTTCTTGCCTAGAAAAATACCACACAACTTCAGAGTTTTTGATACACTTTGCCACCCCAGTGCTTGCCTCCGCTGTTCCAGCTTGAGGCTCCTGCTGCAGTCCAGTCAGCTTCCCATGGTRCTGAGACCAGCTGCTTCCCATGAGTTTGCAGACAAAAGCCCCTTTTCTATCTCTTCCACCAGCAGAGCTGACATTACCACATGCAAAGGGAGCTGAGCTCACATCACAGCACTCCCTGCAACCACGGGGGGATCATTGCTCCTGCCCTGCCTGGCTGGGAGCCAACAGCTATGGCCATAACTACACCAAAGGGGAAAAGCCTTGACGGCTGAGA